TGCTGCCGCCGCCGCCAGCCGGGGCATAATACGGTAAATAAATACGAGCATGGGGATCCACGTGTGAACGAAGCCCCACTCCCCCTCCCCTTTTGCTTTCGCTCTCGAGCCGGCGCTTTTTTTTTCTTGAAATTTCCCTCTTAAAATGAAGGTGCGTGTTATACGCCTGTGCGCGTTATACGCCGATAAATACGGTAATGTTTTGAGTTTTTTGGGGTTATAATTAATCACATTATTTATAAAACCTGGATTATTTTATATTTCAGAAAAGGATCCAAATAGATGTCTTAGCTTAAAATTCGATTTATGCAAAACATGTATAAATGTATGTATATGATTAATACACATCAACAAAGGTTTGCAGTAATTTAGAAATAAATGCAAGTGAAATATCAATTCACTTAGAGCAAATTAGTGTGTTATTCCCAAATGTCTGATAAATTAGAGAATATATCATCCATAGCAACGTCATTACACAAATGACAGAAATTATATTTGTGTAAATATGCAGATGATATAAAACGACTTACATAAAGAATTGCACAGCAAAGCAAACTTCTTACATGTTTGAAATATTTGGGTGATCTCTTGAAGTGAGTAAATATTTTTAAAAAGCCAAATTTTAATCTCTTTTCACATGAAGCAAGACTGTTGGCTGGCATATATCAACAAGTTAAGGGAATGCAGCCTCAATCATCTTTGCTACTTTGAAGTTTGCGATAAGGGGCTATGATATTAAGGAGACTTGGAGAAATTTCAGAAGCTCTTACAACAACAGGTGTTCAAACATGATTTAAGCCAAGAAAACAGGAAAGTATTAGGTAAGTATTTGGACTGTCTATTCCCTGATTCACTTAGGGTATAAAGAGAGAAAAGGTAAAACACAGCCTTGCACATTCTAATAGCTTATCTTGATAGAGTCTTAACATTATTACCATATTGGTCCTTCCTAAAGGTTCTGGAATCTTGTCCAGTAAGGTATTATACAGTTCTGCCTGTCTTGGCAGTCTACTTTTGTTATTTACCCTTCTTTGTATTCTTTTAAAATATTTTTAATTGAATCCTTGTATTCAATTTCCTGGATTTTGTTATGGATTTCCTTCCCATACAGTACCCCTCCTCATTCTTTTTTTGTCTGGTCTATTTTTTTTCAAGTTGTATCTTTTGGTTCTTGTATACCATTCAAGAGTTTTATTTTGCTGCATTTCTGTAATGCCTATTAAATCATTTCCAGCTTCCTATATTAAGAGAGCTAGTTCTTTCCATTTGTTCCCCATCATCCATGCATTTCTATACAGGTGCTGAAAACATTGAGTCATATAATTTGGTGCATTCCTTTCTGTTACCCATATGCTCATTATTGGACTTCTCCATGCTCTATGTATCATCTCTTGTCATGTATGTAGTACTTGGAGTCTTCTGGGGTCTGTTCCCTCACAGAATACTGTTAATAGCCCTCTGCATTCGATTTGCAAGATATCTTCCAAACATCCTGTTCCCACCTCTCATGCAGCCCATTTCTTGCCAGGAATTTCTCATCACAATTATGTCCTATGAACAGAGGATCCAAATTCTTCCCATTGGTACCATCTGTGGCAGCTCCTGCCCTCTGGAATGACCTACCCCCCGACCTACGTACAGTTGCGGACCTGCGCCTTTTTCGCCGAGCCCTGAAGGCTCATCTATTCCGTGCGGCCGGCCTGGCATAGTTTGATTATGTTTTAGTGGGGGTTTTGTATGGAGTATTTTTAGAGCAGGCCTGTTATTTAATTTGATTTTAGACAGAAATTTGTGTATATTTATTGTGGTTTTTATTATCGCCTGTTCACCGCCCTGAGTCCCGTAAGGGAGATAGGGCGGTATATAAATTCAATAAATAAATAAATAAATAAAAATCTGTGTTATCCATTTGTTTGCTTCCAGTATTCCTCTCTGTTCATGAGCTACAGAGAGTAAAGAACATGCCACTTGTACTCCCTGCTCCTTCATTATCACTTGTAATGTTTTTAACACAATATCTGTTTATGTCATTTATTTCCATGTGGATCTGTAAAAAATAATGTTTGTCAATGATCTTAAAAGGTCTTAGATACTTTTCTATCACATAAATGTGAATCCTTGGAAGGTATCATATTTCTCTTAAATAGTCGTATCATGTTGTGTCTAACGACGAAACCAGAACAGTTTTAGGACAGGGAGTAGTGTTGACGCATATCGAATGTCGGAGGTTCCGTTCAGTAGGAAATGAATGTTTCGGACATCTTAGGATAAGAAGTCAGGAACTCCGAACACCGTCGACAATAGAAAGATTTTTGTAGATACGTCTCCGAAATCTTGGATAAGACTTCTTGGTCTCTTAAAAATGTTCTTAAAAAGTATCATCCATTGTGTCACATCCATCCATTTGCCTAGCTTTCTTTTATTTTCAGAATAGCTTCTTAGTATATTGTCCTTCCTGTGAAGGATCCATGAAAGGCACCAGGCTAGAAAGCACGAAACTATGAGTTCAAATCTCACCTTAGCCATGAATGCCGGCTGAGTGACTTTGGGCCAGTCACTCTCTCTCAGCCCAACTTGCCCTCACGGTGTTGCTCTGGGGGAAATAGGAGGAGGAGGAAGTGCGTTGGATATGTTTTCTGCCATGAGTTATTTGTAAAAATAAGGCACGATACAAACAAAATCCTTATGAGTTTAGCCGGAATGTGGACATAACCTTCTCTTCCCAGAGGGTCAACAGCCTGCACTTGTAACATGTTTCCTGTAGTAGCAGTTCCCCCATTTCCATGTTAAAAGAGCTGGGCTGGGGGATATGCATCTTCACTTCCCTGACCAACTCCTGATTGTTGTCCTTGTTTGTTCATTCAGTGAATTTTGAGTATTATCTTTTTCTAAGAAGATGGGCTAATTCCTAAAGAAAGTACTGAACTTTAGTCTATGAAAGGAACTTGTATTTAAAGGGGACAAATCACAAGATGTGTAAGTGAAGTTCCTTTCAAAATGTTAAATGATTATTTG